GGGGGGGGGGGATCTATACCTAATGGGACCTACTCAATGCACATCTGAGAGCAAGACAGATAAAAAACAATGTACAACATGATCCTAATATAGGCTGTCTAGGATATATACTGAGTTGAAAAATAAAAATCTGGCTAAATTTGTCTTTAAAAATTATTTGTGCCTCAGCTTTTCCATCCAAAGACAACCTGTAGCAATTGGTACCACATTCCAAATATATACTGACTAAAATAAACAATGTTGCAACTATGTTTTTATAAACTGAGGAATAATTTGAGAAATCTGGTGGCCTTCAATCTATTCAAACCCACCACAAAACATATTCACAAAAACTACAAATAGTCCTTGATTTATGACAGTAATTGGGATTAGAATTTTCACTGCTCAGCACCATGGTTGCAAAGTGTGACCATGTTGCTTAGTGATGGCAATCGCTGCAATTCTGACTGTTGTAACTAATTGAATCCCTCCGTTGGTATCACTGTTAATGAGGCGACCTCCCGCTGGCTTCCCATGTCCATGTATGTGAGGAAGTTGGCAGGAAGTGGTTAAGTCTCAGGCAGCTTGTAATCAGGCTAGCAGGCAATAAGTAGCTGCTATTATGGGAGGGAGGGTGTGAGGGGATACATGAGGATGAGAGAGAATCACAGCAAAGATTGAGAAGGATGCACAAAGGTGAGGTGGTGTGTGAAGGTGGAAGGAAGAATGGCAAAGATTAAGGGGTATGAAGGAGGTTCAAGTGTTGAGAGTGCATGGGGTGCACTGGGGTGTGGAAGGATGCGAGTACAGCGAGGTTCAGACAGAGTTCAAGGGAGTGCGCAAGAGTGTGAAGGAGGCACAGTGAGGCTCACGGAAGTGCACAAATGTAAATAGGCTAGGAAAAGATTTGCAGGTGGGGGAGACTTACCAGGCAACTTGTGATCTTCCCTGCCAGTTTCCCCATTGACTTTCTGGGGAAGCTAGGACTGAAAGGTTGTAAATTGCAATTATGTGATTGTGAGTTGCTGCAACTAGTTGTGACTTGAGGATGCTAGGACAGCCTGATCTCCGAGGACCGATCATACCCAACATTCATTCGGTGCCATTGAACTTTGAATAGTCACTGAGTGAATGATCTTATACTGAAGACTAACTGTGGAGCAAAAACGTCAACAGATTCTTATTACTGAATTAGTAGATAAAATGATAGCAATATATAGTTTAGCTTTTGGGATTTTGCTAAGATTAAATAGACTTACAAGATAAAGCAAATTTAAACTAGCAGCTCTGTTATCATCACCTATTTACAAATGATTCCTAAAGTACAGCAATTATTGCATATTTCTATCTGTGGTATATCTTTATTTTAGTAGACATGTTACTTGAAATGACACTTCCTATAATTGGTTAGCAACACTCACCAGCTGATGCTTCTTTGCTCTCTTCCTGCTGTTCTGCTACAGTTGGTGCCTCTTCTGATTTTTCACTTTTTTCTGTAATATCACAAAGATTTAAATATGCCTTTAATAGGGCACATTTTAATCATCTAATCCAGGGGTGTCAAACTCATGTATTGCAACTTTTCCCCCCTTCGCTAAAATGGTGCGGGTGGACAGCATGTGATGCATCCAGCCTGCGGGCTGCAAATTTGACACCCCTGATCTAATCCACAAATTCTACATTTAACTGTCCAAATTGTTCTATGGTCCATAGAAAATAATGTATATTTTACTATATGCATTATTAGTTGTATTAACAGAACTTTTAAAAATCAGTTTTCAATCAAGTTGAAGGATTTCATGGAACATTTCTGACAACAAAATCATTAATGTAGTTAGAACCTTTATTCATATTAAATGTTTATGTTTATATTTATATTTATATATATTATATTATATTATATTATATTATATTATATTATATTATATTATATTATATTA